CACTATGCTAAAAATATATGCTATGCTATATTTTTGTTCTGAACAAAAAGTGTACCCAGCGAAGATTATTTCCATTAAGTTTGCTCATGGGTAAGCATGCGTGGGACTGCGGCTTTGGACTGATACCACACCATCACCATATCTGTACCCGACCTTAAAAACACACAGCTACATTTAAACCAAAGAGAACTTGGTGGGAAGAAATAGGCAATATCTATAGCTGTCCAGCTACAGTTTCTGTAGCATTTTTCTGGTTATAAAGCACTTTAGTCATTCTTGTCCGTAAAGCAATCTTGAAAGATGTGTTTAATTAAGAGGGATGAGCCCTGCCCATGGTGGTCTGAAAATCTGCAGCTTGAAGATGCCTCCCACACTGAGCAGATCTATTCACTTAACCAGCCGTGTTCTAATATACACCAACTGGCTCCTATTACCTCCAGGAAAAAATGTAGTAATAAAGGAGATGTGCGTGTATCATAAGCTGTGGCAGAGCATTGTTATTATAAAACACATATAGAACTGCAGATGTTCTTCATTTACATTAGCTTACAAGATGAATTTCAAAACTTCCTTTTATCTTTATAGATCCGTAGTGACATGTACATACAGTGATCCAGCGCGTCAGCAAGACTATTCCTGACTAGGCAAAGAAATGAAATCACCTCCAGTTTCCAGCTGAAAAACAAGCAAAAGGCTGTTCAGAGTTACTTTTAAAGAATTGCTTAACTAAAACTTACTTAATGGAAATTCAAGTCTCAGAAGTGGCAGATCAAACAACTTGTGTAGAAGTGATTTGCACCAACTTCATTTGATTTTCCAGTTTAGCCTATGGTCCTGGTCTCCATCCTTTGAATCATCTTTCGGATCATATTCAAAGGTAAAGTTTTCATAAATTAATGTATTTCTACAAAAGCTGCATAATTCCTAGAGAAGGATTTTAATTCCAACCGTCTCCGAGGATCTTGAGGAGGTTCCCAATGTACCTTGCAAAGGATCAGCATAGTGGAGTGGCAAGAAAGAGCAGTCGGTCATGGCCTACGATAGTGAAGATTTGGGACACGTATGGATGTCTGATCCCATCTGGGCCTGTCACACAGCTATGGATATACTGGCTGAATGGAAGGTGAGGACCACAAATTGGGGCTGCTAAGGGGCAAAAGCAAAGTAAAAATAACCCAGCCTTAGTCAAGTAGTACACATACGAGTAATGGTAAAATTAAACGACTAATAGATTAAGTAGATTAAGTGATCATTACTAATGGAACCTGGAGGTGATACTGCCAACAACATCACATTGTTCGTAAGTAATGATTTTACAGTGGGCCTTAGACTGACAAATGAGGTGGAATGAAATAACAGCCTAGGGTAGAGATGCCGTCTAAGCAAAAGAGAGAGGTTTCACTGAATGCAGTGAAATTTAAATTAGGCAAAACCACAACTCTGGCATGCCATCATTACTGGGGTATGAATTAGGGCCAAAGGCAACAAAAAGCAAAAACAAAACACAGTAATTAAAATACAAATATTATTAAGTGCATGTCTAACAGAGATTATAATGAAAGAACAAACGCCTCCTGCGCTCGCCAGCTGGGCTCTGCCCTAGGAAGGAGGCTCTGGCAAACCACTTC